TATATATATATATATATATATATATATATATATATATATATATATATATATATATATATATATATATATATATATATATATATATATATATATATTGTTTTGTCGTCCCAATGTGTGTGCTAATAAAGCAGCGATTAATAACGCTAACTGCTTATATATTGCATTATCTTATATATTAGGCTTATATTGTGTGTGCTGCCGTGCATATCAAAATGCGTATAATACTAATTACACTTGAATCGCCAAACTAACTCAAACAAACCCACGTGGTGCAATATTATGCAGCTTTATATGTAGTATACACCGGTAAAACAAACAATCTTAAAGCGTATATATATATTGTTTTGTCGTCCCAATGTATGTGCTAATAAAGCAGCGATTAATAACGCTAACTGCTTATATATTGCATTAACGTCCGAATGTATGTGCTAATAATGTATGTGCTAATAAAGCAGCGATTAACAACGCTAACTGTTGTAAGAATTAGCTCAACCGATCTTATGTCGTATATATCGAACAAATAACATGGTATACCATACATAGTAGACAATTGTTTGTTGTGTGAAAATTGTTATGTTTATAACCCATATTAGTGAAGCATCTTGATTATCTCTAGAAACGTGCATGCCGTCTTAATTAAAGCTCTACAGTAACGTTCTTATTTCTATAATTGCTTTCAGCAACGAACTTTTAGTTTGAACTCTTCATCATTTATCATTTATTCAACTATCGTATTGGTGTATCGACCCAGGTCATGATATGGAAACGAGAAGTTCAGCCTAATACTTTAGTTTATCGTCTGTAAAAAGGAACTTATTACTTACTTTCCGATTCTGAGGTATCAGTTTTAACCCTAATAGTATTGTTCACGCTACACGAAGTACGGGTTAAGATTTAAGCTAATCTCATATGTTTGCATATCTGATAGACCCAAATGCATTCACGTACGGGAGGAGGAAACAGCGGTTAGAACGGGCTAAGGAACGCCCAAATTTGTTAAGAATAATACACAAATAATTTGAACTATGATTACTAGTACTACTGTACTAGAAAGCTACGCATAATAGTTATTCGATTACAATACCAAAACGTCGCTAATTCATTTTTTCTCGAGAACAATCTCTCTATGTGTGTTCGCGGCGATCACCATGTCAGTGAAGGCATACCGAAATAAATAGTCATGAATAAAATAGTAAATCTTCCAAATTAACCTTGAATACAATGGCGTTTTGGGTGATTAGCGTTCATGCACCTTCGTTAGCCCTTACTAAGTTCTTGAGCGCGTCTTAAAAACGGGCCAGATTTAATCTGTATATAGCGTTCCTTAGCTAAGGGTTCACGCAGGTTTTACATATAAATAAAGACAAAATATATTAATAAAC